ACAATGTCCTATTACTCCTTTCAAACACACCATTGATTTGTGTTTTTCTAGGTGGGTCTATTATGAGATAATCCCATTCTCCTTTAAATGAGTTAAAAATTCGGTGCTTAAGTATTCTCCATCTCGATCTGATCAAAATGCCTTAATACTTTTCCCTGTTTGTTTATTGACTTCAAACCTAAATTCTTTGAACTTTTCAAATGCTTTAGATTTATATCTCACCAAATATACATATCAAAACGTGATCTATCATCAGCAAAGGTTATAAAATAATCATATACTCCTCTTATTTGGGTGGACATGGGCCTACATATATCACTATGTATGAGGCCTAACAAATCGATAGCTTTTTCACCTTTTCCACTATAACGAGGATTTCATCATTTTACCAAGTAGACAAGATTCACGGATATCAAAAGATTCATAATCATATGATTCTAGACATCCACTTTTATGTAATTTTAATATGTGATTCTCATTCATATGGCTAAGTTAACAATACCATAGATAAGTTTTATTTAGATTATTAGTCTTGCGTCTTTTACATTTATGTTATATATAGGTTTATCTATGTTTAAAATATAAATTATTATTTATATCAACATTTTCATATAAAACATCATTTTTATAAAAAGGATAAACTTTTTTCTTAAATAAAAATAAAAAATCATCTTGGTCCAAGCAAGAAATGAAAATGTATTCTTTGTTATACTACGAATGTAATAATAGTTTCGAGTATAAGCACAAGTTCATATGGTAGTGCTAACTCGGAGGTGACTACCACTAATGGTATAACTCTTGAACCATTATCTACTCGTAGATCAACTTTTCCTGAAGTGGTTTTTCTTACTTCTTTTAGTCCTTTCAAATTTGTGTAAATATGTGCACCACATCCGAGTATCAAATACCCACGATGTTGGACTAAAAGTAAAAATTTTCAATTTAATAACATAAATGATTAAAGTGCTTTCGAACTCTTCTTTTACACCTTTTCATGATACTCTTTATCGTCTATCACATAGAGTATTTTTTCATGTTGGAGGACATGCATTTTTCCATATTGGAGGACATTCCTCTTATTTTATTTTTTAGTTAAGAAAGTTTGTGCCATTTAAGACATTACTCCCATTAATCATCGATCTCATCAAAGTATTACCAATCATACTATGCAATAACCTTGACGGAATAGAAAAATATACGGTTTGGTTAATTAAATTATATAAATAAAATAAAACATAAATTAAAGAAGTAAAATCTATATTTGCTCTCATTATTTTTTCAGAGGTGACTATCACTAATGGTACAACTCTTGAACCATTACCCATTCATAGATCAACCTCACATGAAGTGGTTTTTCTTGCTTATTTTAGTCCTTTCAAATTTATGTAAATATGTGCATCATATCTAGTATCGAATACCTATGATGTGATACTAGAAGTAAAAAAAAATCAATTTAATAACATAAATACTTGAGGTGCTTTTAAAACTCTTTTTTGTAGTCTTTTATGGTACTCCTTATCGTCTATCATATATAGCATTTTCTCATGTCGGAGGACATTCCTCTTATTCATTTTCGATCAAGGAAGTTTATGCCATTTAAGGAATTACTCTCATTAATCATCGATCTCATCAACATATTTCTAGTCATCATGTGCAATAACCTTGACATGATAGAAAAGTGTATGGTTTGGTTAATTAAATTGCATAAATAAAACAAAGCATACATTAAAGAAGTAAAACCTATGTTTGCTCTCGGTATTTTCTTCAAGTTCTATAACCTTCATATATAGGACTTGAGAAGGCTTTTGATTAGTCTTCCATAGTGGGTTAGGATATCATCCTCTAACATGCTTTAACCTTGAGTTATCTTAAAAGTTATACATAAAGGATTAGGTAGGTAACTCTTTACCAATTGCATCTAACGTAATTCCTAATCTCATTGGCATGACAATCGATTATTATATCACATCACATCTTATGTAAATACCAATCTTTTCATACAATTTTATTGGACCTTGAGTTATCTCAATAAACCCAACAACTCATTTTAAGTTAGACTCAATGTTCGTGGATATCATATGGCCCATTATTTGTTTCCCTCAAGGAAAAAATGACCTTTAGTTAACTTAACAAGCTAAAAATGACTAAGAGAGTTCCCTCCTCATAACGTTGAAAGGCATTTAACTTAATATTAAATTTAAAGGATTTTAATGTGGTAGGTCTCATTCTAGCATCCATAATAGCCAATCACATTAGTCCAAACATACATACTAACATTAATTGCATAATACGAAATTTATACATCTCATGCATGACATAAGGATCGGTGAATGATGATGGATCTCTAATACTAGCCTCCTCGAGCCACAAAGAGACTAGTGGGTCAAATACCTTGTTGAAAATCATTATAAATTCTTCGAGATTTATCTTCACTTCGTAGCTTCTTCTCCTTACATTTATTCTAATTTATATCTTCTACTTTTACATTTATTTGAATAAGAAATCTTGAGTTATATTCGAGGGAAGTAAGATGAGAAAAGAAATACAATAGAGTAATAGACAAGAAAGGATGCGTAAGCCTTATTAAAAATAACAAACATTCATTCTCACAAACTAGGCCGACTCATCCATACCATTCACTCATGCTTCAATCACATTGATACATGACATACTAATGAAAAAGATTTCATTCAAATCGCAATTATAAACCTATTTTTTGAGAATTTTATAAATTTATTAAAATTTTTCTAAATTTTAATTTTAAAACTTTTGAGCCTTGGACCTACTTTTGGCCTATGAGATTTTTGGCCTCGAGGGCTCACGGGCTTCGATGCCCAAGCTCTCGGCTTGGCACACTCGTGAGCACCGGCCCACATCCGAAGCGTAGCATGTAAGCACACGGCCCATAGCCTCACGCACATGCACGGCCTATGGCTTGGCGCGAAAGTGCCTAGCCCGCACGCTCGAAGCATGAACGCCTAGCCTACGTGCTTCGCGCATCGGTCAAGCTTGCGGCATCTAACATGCACGAAGCATTTAGCTCGCAACATCGGACATAAGAGGGCACGGCTCGCCCATCTTACGCATGGGCCTAGCCTACGACACACGGCGTATAAGTGCACGGCCTACGGCACCTAAAGTTTGAGCATCGAGCATATGCCTCGCACGCGGGCTTGCCCTATCGCGTGCCCGGTGCATGAGTGGCTTGGCATACTATGTGCCCGGTGCGTGAGCGACCAAGGGCTATCATATGCTCGATAAGCCGGTGGTGTTTGTGAGCATGAATACCAATGTCCAACGTTGGCCTCACGTGCTCCCATTGATTTTAACCCAAATTTCAGCTTTAAATTCATATAAAATACCAAAAACATAACATTTACAATTAGGCATAGTTATTTCATATAGTTAATCATAATTAACAAAATATACGATCAAAGATTCGGGAAGGCTCGATACCAATTAAAAGATCATATATTCCATGAACGTACTTGAATAAAACAAGAATTTTCCTCCATCTAAACTATCTAAGATCATGTCGTTGAATCAACTAACCATATATTCATAAATTAAAACGATGAATAGATAATTACCTCTTATAGCATAGATTTAAACCTTTGTAGAAAAGAGTTATCCAAGTGTCCGATCTCTATTGATAATCAACGTAGTGCAAGCACCCACAAAAGAAACGCTCAAAATTAGTAGAGTGCTAACTCCACCTTTTCGACTTGTTTAGCATTTCCTATAGAAATCTACTCAAGATAATTTTTTGACAACCGAAAGAGAGAGAGAGAAGAAAAGTGGTGTGCTAGGGTTAGGGAGAAAATAATTTTCTTCTAGCTTTTATTTTGAGTCCTGTGTCCCTTCTATTTTATGTGTGCCAAATCTTTCACTCCTTTTTTCCTTTTTCTTTATTGCTACACCTCTCTTCCAAATTATAGGAGAGAGTTTCTTTATCCTCCAAGAACAAGGAGAAAGGGGCAACAACTAGTCCTTATTAGATGCTTGATTGCTTGCTTTCCTAATCCTCCAAGGATTAGGAGTTATTTAACATAAGACCTTTTGATTTTTATCTATAAAACATTCAACCTTATCCAATAAGGTTCATGTTTATCGTATCATCAAAATATCTTTCAAGTATTTAATTAAACCTATTGGCCCAAAATCATTTTGATTCAATTAATTAATTTGGATCGTCTAAATAAATTAAGTTAGATAATTTTAGGTGGCCCAGATCAAGAAACAATTTCCTAAAATACCCTTAAACCTAGATTATGAAACTCATTTCTATTTTAGGTTATTTACTTCAAAATTTGAAACTAACTTCCAAATTAGGAAATTGCTTTCCAAAATAGAAAACTTTTATAATTGAAAACTTTTTTCAATATCTTTATTTTTCTTTAATTATGTAAATTTTTAAACTTATACGTGTGACTCGATAGGCTCCTACATATGTAGACAAAATATATTAAAAATAAAAAACATATTTTTTATCTCTTGATACATAATTTGATCTTCGTACTTTTTTAATTAGTATTCATTGCCTCTCTTTCTTTTCATGAATTTTTCTTAATTAAATTTTTTTATTGTTTTTCGACTAATTTTTCAATTGAAATTGACAGTTAGCATAAAAAAATTCTAAGTGGCACGACACAAGAACCCTCTGTATAAAAACACTAGACTTTTCTCTCTCCAACTCAATCTCGTTTAACCAAAAAACAAAATACCTTAATAATTAAAAAATGGCTTTTAATTGATAATTAAAAAAAAAATTACAATCCTTCACGGAGAATGAATTTCCTTTGGAAATCGGATAGAAATTCCAGAAGAACACCTCTATATATATATATATCAAAGTCCACTTCACAAAATAAATCAGTAGTATTTGCTATTTCCTTCGGAAAAAAAAAAACCTATTAGATTCTTTTTGTTACACAGCAATCCAAACATTCAATCATGGTTATTCTCTAGGATTACGAAGAGTCTGAACAAAACTAGCAAACTTCAACATCTCCTTCTTCCTCATTCTCCTTCAACGCAGTTCTTGATCCCTCAAACCCTCTATTGTTTTTTGAGTATGCCCTCAATTTTTTTGTCTCAAAAGTCTGATGTCATAAAAACTGATGTCTCTGTCCTAGTTAAGGAGTTCAAGAAAAGAATCAAGGCTGAAGAGGATTCAAAGAAAGCAATAGAGAAAAGGCGTGTCGAGGAGAAAAAGTGAGAGGAGGAGAAGAAAAAGACTGGTGATAGTTTCTGGAACCTGGAAGACCAAAATACTGGTTCTGTGCTTTTGACAAGTGCGATGGGATGAATTGGTGGAAGTCCTTTTTCAAGTGGAAGAATAAAAAGACTATTTTTAGTTTTGATCGAGAGTGAGCTGGAGAGAGAGAATTTTAATGTTCTTATTTTATTTTTTTCTTATACATATTGGTTTTTTCGTTTTGGCCACGTGTTAAATTAATCTGACGTATCGGGTCACATGAAATGTTTTATACCAACTCAATTTCAATCAAAAAAAATTGAACGAAAAGAATTTGAGGGCCCATATTTAAAAAAAAATCAAAAAAATCAAAAAAATCAAGGGTAGAAGATGATGACTGAATAAAAAAATACAAAAATACAAAAATCATATTAAGAAAATTAGAAGAGTTGAGGGATATTTGATGCGTATCTCACTTAAATTGTAGTGCTTGAATTTATGCTAGGTCCTCCCTGGTGAACTAACTTGAAACATGCTTTGACCAAATCAAAATCACCTTGGCTAGAAAAATTAATAAGCAAGCTTCACGTAATAGAGGATTCAAGTAAACTCCATGTAGTAGAGGATTCAACCTTAAGCTTCATGTAGAAGAGGATTCAACTTTAAATAGCAGTTAAGTTACTAGCTTCTACTCTGAATTGAATCGAACATCACAATCCCAGTTTATGAATAACGAAATCTTATTTACTAGTGACGAGATAAAGACAGAAACAAAGGCCTCATACCCTCATCAAAAAAATTCAACTCAACCAGTTGTCAACTCACTCTAAATTGTGTTATATCTGTAATTTTTACTTTTTATTCTGTTATTCTCTCTTTTTTAAATCCAGGCATATCATGAAGTCTTTTGTCACAATCACACACATTCTATTTGACCTTCGTACCCATTACCTTTGCATCCACTCGGAGTACAGCTTCTATCAACAAAAAATGCTATACATGGCGAGTTGCAATGACCAACCATCTCATCTAAGCACCCTCATTTTGGCCACTCTTGTTTAGGGGTGATCATTCGGTTAAACGATTCAATTAAGCATAATTCAGTTCGGTTTTTGATTAACCGAATTAGAAAAAATAAAAACCGAAACCGAACCAAAATTAATTCGGTTTGAAACCGAATTATTTCGGTTCGGTTTCGAAATAATTCGGTTTAACCAAATTTTTTTTTGCTGTAAAAACAAAATTAGTCCTGTGATCCTATTTGTCTTAGTTTCTCGAGTGAAAAAAATGTATAGGCTTGAGCATAGATTCATTTTACTAGAGATCTAGCAACCAATCCCACATTCAATCTAAACTCTCAAGTCTCAATTAAACTTGAAGAATAAAATCAAGTCATGACAGCAACACTCACATGGAAAATAATGGTTAGGAATCGACCATCTACAACTTACATGCAACCATGAACCAACACTCAATTATATTATTAGAAACTACTTTTTTCAACACTAATTTAAAATCCGACCATCCCTTGAAAGGGTAAGTCCAAACTAAGAAAATAAGCAAAAACATGAAGGCACAAGACTAAAATAATAGGCAACCTCGGGACAAGACCATTCAAACAAAGAATTACTACGAAAACGAGAAGATAAATCGGGAATTAGTATTTGATAGAATAAGATCTATTCTCACGATCGGAGGTCGAAACATGTTGAAACAATACGGGAAAAAGAAAGGAAGGAGCTAAGATGTATACAACAAAGACAATGCACCAAATTACTACACATCCGGAAAGAAAATTGCCCACGATAAAGTGAGGTCTTGCACCGATGCGGTCTTGCTTTGCTTGGACGGCCTTGAGCGTCCTCCCACGGTTAATAGTCCCACACTCTCACTTGTTAGGTTGTATTGCATTTTAATTTAGAAATATTACTATAAATTAAAATTTAATTGCCGTAACGGTGATAAGTTTTACGTAGATAGTATATATTAGCCTCAACACCTGAATTGAAGAAATGTTGAACTTGATAATGGATTGAAGAAATGAAAGGCTAGCTCAAGATATTTTTTCTAAACAATTGAATGAAGGATGCAAGTGGTTTATATAAACTTAATTTGGCCAATTCTAGAGATTTAATACATGCCGGATTGAGGTAATAGTTATAACTCATCTAGGATAAGGTGATTCTCTTTTCTTGTACTATTTCTAATAATTTGAATTAGTGTAATTTACTAATTTACCGAAATGGATTGTCAAAGGGCGAGGACTCGGATTCAAGGAAAAGAAAAATATTGCGGGGCTTATAATCCGAAAATGGAATTTTGAAGAGAAGAATAATTAAGTTTATCATAATTTATATGAACCTATCTCGTCAAGAATCATGCATTTTTGGTAGACTATATTTACAACATTCAAAAGCTCAAACTCAAGAAAAGCAAAGTAAAATCAACATATATGCCAAGAAGAAAATACTTTTCATTAAGCTGCTTTTGTTCATCCATATCGGTATCGATAATATAGGCCTAGACAAGCAACCATTAAAGTTTCAAGCGAGAAACCTATTAATCAAGAAGTTTCAAGATATCAATAATTTAACTCAAGGATGAAGCCAAAAATCGAGAGACCCATACATTTAATAACAAATAAACTCATCAACACAACGAGAGATCACCAAGCAAGCAATCACCATACCGCACACGAGAGGAAATCAAGGAAGACAAGATGGACTTCTATACGGACAAGTTACTAAAAATTCTTTTGTTATCGGTAAAATAAAGAGAGAGAGAGAGAGAGACTAACCTTGGGAGATAGGGAGAGCTTGCGAGAAAAGGAAGACACAAAGAGGCAAGCGGCAAGAGCGGCGGAGGCAACCTAAGTAGGAGGAGCCGAGGAGGATGTGACTCATGAGAATGACCGTGACTCCGTGAGATCGGAGAAAGATGATAGTGGTTGCGACTTCTAACCGAGCAAGCCGGGGCTTAGAGGTCGGATGACTGCGGGAGTGGAGTGGAGAGTGGAGGAGAAGGGAATGAAATCGAAGAAGCCAAGGAGATTTGATCGTTTAAGCGGAAGACGAACCACCGAAGCGGTGAGCCGGTGAGAGTGATGAGTAAGACGATGAGAAGAAAATTGAAAGAGAGAGTGAGAGATGAGACTCGGGCATGAGGCATCGGCTACTATTAGTTACAAGTTAGGATTTAGGGTTAGGGATTTAGGAATTGAAATAGATTAGGAATAAATTTCGGTTTTTGGTTTGAATCGATTTTTTTTTTTCAAAAACCGAACCGAACCGAAATAAATTTTGGTTTTTCGATTCAATTGTAAATTGTAAATTTTAAAATTCAAAACCGAACAAAATTGCATAATTCGATCCGGTTGTATTCGGTTTTCGGTTAAGCTGAACCGTTTGCTCACCCCTACTCTTGTTTTTCTAGGCAGCTGGGTGGGGAACATAGTTAAAGATAATAGAACAATGATTCAAAAAGAGCTGAAAAAAAATCAGTAGAATTGCCACTCATCCAACAGCTAGGTTTTCGGACAAGCCTATTGAGAACTCACTAGATTTGTTTAACTTTGCATCATAAAACCGTGTGCAAGAAACTCGAATCACAACACCAACAGCAATGCAGCGAAATTGACAAGATTCATCTACACATACATACATCGGCCATGGAGCATTCCCAAGTATAAAAAAAAACTTTAAAATAGTGGTAATTCAACAAGTAGTGCCCATTTACAAAATGACATACTAAAACACCACTACATGAAACATCAAGAAGCAAAATTTTTTTTTTAAAAAAAAAAAAGGTGGGACCAGACTGCTAAGAATACAAACCGCTCATAAGAAAACCCAAAGCACACACCAGCCTCATTGCAGAATTGTCAAGATTCATTCAAGTTTACTTTCGCCATACAAGCACTCTCTTTAAGTATGGAAAACTCTAGCACAGAGCAGTAATACAAGTAATGCCAACTTGAAGAGTTACACAATAAAAGACATTAGGTAAGAAATATCATGCGGCGTTCAAAAATTAGTATGTTACAAAGATACCAGTTATCTCCACAAATTGATACATAAAAAGTAACCAAATTACCTACTCAAATATTTCTTGTAAAAATAAAATGCAAGTACGGTGTATAATTTCAAATCTGTAAGGTTAGTGATACTGCCAATGAAAGATGAGATTGAAGCATGCCTTTTTTATCATATAGTTATTTCATTATTGGCACACCTTCAGAGCATATCTCCCAATTGCAACATGGAGAAAGAGGGAGCACAGAACAATATTTTGATGGTTCGAATATCCAATAGAACCCAAGACGCATACATAGGTTTACCAAGAACAAGACATTATGCAAAAACACAGAGAGCATGCCCAGCACTTCAGTTAGTTAACACACTGCTCATTTTTAATGGACATAAAGTACCCTCGTCTATTAATGCCACTGTGTCTTTTAAAAGGGGGATATCAGTCATTTCAACAGTTCCTTTCTTTTTTCTTCCTCAATCATAAGACGCAAGCAACTTTCACAACAAACACCAATGGCTTTAAGGTTTGAACATAATTCTAGCCTTACTGTGCAATTTTTTAGCGGATGTCCTCGCAATATAAAAACAGGAATATTGAAGCAACAAGAAAAACGCCCACAAGTTGCTTGCCCCTTCCCACCATTTTTAGTCATGTAATTGAGATCAAAAGTCCTTGATTTTCTGTCTTGCATTGATATTCCTATGCATGTTGTCCATGGAATCAAATTTTAATTTCACTGCCCATCAAATTGGGATTTATGGTATACTTAGTTTCTTGGCCCAAGTTACAGAGATGTGAAAAGGTTAGAAAGGCTGTTAGAAGATTAAAATAAGCAAAAAGGAAAATATCAGTAAAATTTGGAAAATGAAAATCTTTAGATTGAATTTTGATAGAGAAGGAAATTTATGAATACTAAATAAAGAGACAGAGAGACAATGAAAGATAATGGTGTAAATATATACATATATGAGAGCGAAGATAGAAAGAACATATGCCAATGGTTGGACATAAAATTCAACACCAGATTAGAATATAACCTCTTTTTCCTTTCTGAATATTCTATATACAATTTGAACTATTATTGACATTCGATGTACAAAAGTAAACTTGTATGCATACATTACTTACTTCCAAACCTTGAGAGCCCCATCTCTGCTACTTGAAATCAGAAGTCTCTGGCTCAACTTGATAGAAGCCAATGAGATGATGGAATCTCGGTGGCAACCAGCAGAATCAGTAGCAGCAGCTGCTTGAACTTGCTTCGCTGTCAACTTGGACGTTAAATGTCGTCTTTTTGTCTCCTGTTAGCAGGGAAAGTCAAGCAATTTTAGCATTAAAAGGCCATTGTTATGCACCATAAAACATTGAAAAACTATTTGATTGCCCAATGAAAGGGTCAAAAGGAAGGAAGGAAGCGGCAAAAAATTTCATTTGGCTCAAACTGCTTTCATTTTAACAAAGACAATATTCAAAAGGAAACATTATTTCGAATATAGTCTGCAATCCAACCAAAGAAACACAGTGAAACCCTTATTTTTCTGGTTAAAAATGAAATTAGAATTACATTCATTTTTCTTTTAAGTTAAATAAGTTGATATTGGTGCAATCCAGCATTCCACATTATATAAACAGAGGCTTTAGCGCACATAACAAGGATAAGCTAGGCTATATTTCCACTATTTAACTGAACTATTTCTTACTGTATCACAAGTTATTATACCGCCTGTGTGTGTGTCTGTGTGTGTGTGTGTTGAAGTTTTGTTTGTAAATAAACCTCAACTATCCTGCAACTACTATTTGAAACTTGAAAAACTACAGTTATGACTGGCAAGACAGTGTTCTCAAGAGTTGCTAAGATATCACATGCAACACAAGCAACCAAAGACATCACTGAAACAAAATCATCTGAAACTTGCATATTGAATTACAAAGGATAAACAAGTGGAGCAAGGGAAGGGAATGCATTACTACATTCATTGAGAATGCAACAAAAGCCAGCACCGAAACAGAATATCTGAAACTTGCATATTCAATTGCAAAACATAAAGTGGTCAGAGGAATAATGTTTCGCTATTCTTATAAATTTATGGTACAATTTGTTTGATCATTGTTTTAAGTGCTTCCAATATTGCAGCATACATAATTTTCAAATAAAATCTGATATGGTGTCTTAAGAACAAGGGAGAGGTTTTACTACTAATTTAAAATTGAAATTTCAGACCTTCGATTGGTTGATGAAAATCGCATGTAAACTTATAAATTCATTCATTACATCTCAAAATTCACCAAACAAGTTAGCAGGGGTCAAAGTTACCTGGTTGGAATCACAAGCAAATGATGCGTTGACACAATATACTCATTAAACACACGTGTTAGCCATTATATGCATGTTATTTCTCTTGGGTTATTTTAACAACAAATATGATGTGTTATTGACAAAAAGCCCCATTAAACCTTCAAAACTATGTTGTTTTAAGCAAGTCCAAAAATGAATTAAGTTAGGTAATAATTGTCAGGGCATCCTAATCTCTCTTAATAACTATGCTGTTTGAAGCACGTCCTAAACTGAATAACTGTTTGGGCTCTCTTAAAAACTATATTCTCTTCAGCGTGTCTTAATGAATCATGTTGGCCATAAATGTTAGGGCATCCTAAGTCTCTCTCTCTCATCACCGTTTTATCTTTCTCTCAGACCAAGATTTATCTCTTTAAAGCTTTTATTTTTAATTTGCCTCAGTCTCTCTTGTCCTGTCCATTCTATACACGAGAATTGATCATAAAAAGATATGACAAATTGCATACATGCTCTTCACCAGCAAAACTTAAACTCAAAGATGAAATCAAATCAATACAGAGAAGTCAGATATCCTCTTTGATAAACGCCATTCCACCATAGCTCATTTTCCAATTTTTTTTATTTTCATACTATAATACTCCATGAAAAAAAAAAAAAAAAAAAAAAAAAAAGAGAGCCATTTAGGATACTTAAATTCTGTAATTCTCATTAAGAAATTGTTGAGAAAGAGAAATCAGTGGTAGCCGAATCAAGGGGTTGCTAATTAGGAGGAAATCTGTTTCTAACAGATTGGGAGAGAAATTAGAGGAGATTTAGTCATAGTAAATAAATTAGGAGATTTGATTTGTATAGAATTCTTTCCTAGTATAGACACTTTTGTATTCCTATTTATATGAAATCTAAACAGAAGAAATACATACGGTAAAATATTTTCCACATGGTATCAGAGCTCTAGGCAAAAAACCTAACCCTAGCTGAATTCCAGCCCGATCCATTTTAAAAAATACCCTAACCCCTCTAGCAGTTTGTCCACCTCCATCTTTCTTCACCATGTCTGATTTTGTATCAAAATCTCAACCAAACTCATCTGAAATTCACAATCCAATAAAAAAAAAACAATACCCCCCATCTACCTACTTTAGATTCCCATTAGGTCCAGATTGCAACCATACAGCTGAATGGAAAATTTTCTGCGCTGGTCTCAATTAGTGTGGATGTATATCCGTGAGAGAGGAAAAATTGGCTACTTGACAACAGAAAAGAAGTAACCTGCCCCTGAGGATCCAAGTTACTCCACTTGGGATGCTGAAAATTCTATGGTAATCACTTGGTGAATTCTATGGAGGAAATCAGCTCCAATTATATGTGTTACCACATTGCCAATGAGTTGTGGGACGATATTAATCTCATATATTCAAACTTGGGCAATCAATCTCAAGTGTTTGAGTTGGCATGGAAACTTGGAGAAATCCACCAAGGTGAGGAAAGTGTTACAAAATACTTTAATTCTTTGAAACGTTTGTGGCAAGATTTAGACTTATTCAGTGATGATTATGAGTGAAAATCATCAGAAGATTACAACCACTATTAGAAAAAGGTGGAGGATAATCATATATTTAAGTTTCTTATTGGACTAATGTTGAGTTTGATAAAGTTAGGGGCAGAATTATTAACAGACAGCCACTTCCCTCCATTGGAGAAGTGTTTTCTGATGTTCAAAGAGAAGAAAGCCGCAAACTTGTGGTGTTACTGAAGAAAAAACCTAACAAAACAGTGGAGAATTCTGCCCTTGCTACAAAGGCTTATGCTGGCTGAATGGTTCAGGGAAAATAGGAGGAAAAATCCAATATTTGGTGTGACTATTGCAATAAGCCAAAGCACACACGCAAAACCTACTAGAAGTTGCATGGAAAACCAACAAATTGGAAAAGGAAAAATGAGAGCAGGGGTCAGCTAGCTTCTACTCATGAAGCCAAGACTGCCCCTTTCAGTAAAGAGCAATTGGATCGCATCCTAAACCTACTAAAATCTAGTTCTGGATTGTTGGGTGCACTTACTACTTCTTTGGCCTATTCAGGTAGTAACCCTAATGCCTTATTATGTCATTCTTTTTCTGCTCCTTGGATCACTGATTCAGAAGCTTTTGATCATATGATAAGTCTTTCAAATTTGTTTGATACTTATAACTCTTGTTCTGGTTATGAAAAAGTTCGTATAGCAGATGGATCACATTCTCCTATTGCTGGTAAAGGTTTGGTAATCTTATTGATGCGGATGACAAAAAAAACTAAAATTTGTGTTTTATTTAAATTTTAGAATGCAAAGGTATTTTACTATTTTTTCAGTTTGCTGGAAATCTATCTAGGTCTAGGCTTTATTTCTGTTTAGTATTTTATTTTCTTAGTCCTGAAGTTATTAGGTTTTCCTATTCTAAATAGGAATAGTTATGTTGAAGGTTTAGGAATCCTGTCCTAATTTGATTTGAACTTTTACAACTCTATAAATGCAGTATGTAGTCTTTTAACATTCAGAACGCAATAATATCAAATAATTTTTAGCACTTTGCTTTTGATTGTGTGACTCAATCTCCCTTATAGATGTGACTCCCAAGAACCCTAGGTGTGAAGCTTAGGTTTTCTATCCTCTAAATGTGATTCCTAAAAACCCTATTAGTGTGACTCTAATAATTTTATAATTTGCAGTACAAATCCACATCAATATGGACCAAAACAGCCTGAACGTCCTTTAAATATCAGATACAAAACAACCCCTAAGTTGTCTACATCAGTTCATATCAGAGCTTCAAGATCCTAGGAGTTTTTGCTGCGTTCTTCAATCATGGTGACTGTCAATGAAGTCAATACAAAATTTGAAGCCTTCCAACTAGAAGCTAAAGCAAGCAAGAAATCTATGGATGAAAGGTTGGACAACATTGAAAAATTTCATTCTAGACTTGCACAATAGAGGACAGATTTGATTCCAAATTTGCAGCAATAAAGGTATCAATTGAAAGGCTTCCAAAAATTGTTCTAGGAAACCAACTTGTTACAACAGCTGATAACTCTCTTCCACAAAATGAAGGTGTTGTGGCTACCCAAAACCTCAACCAGCTAGTGCCTAACCAAATACAACCTGTAGTAAACTCATCAATGCAATCTTGAACACAAAAGGTAGGAACTCATCCTTCTTTTTCTCCTCAAACTCGATATCAAGAAAATTGAAGGATGAATGATATAAATACAGGTACTAAGCTTGATGTTAGTGATATTTATGGAGAGAGTAATCCGGAGGTATTTCTTGATTGGTTACATGGTTTGAAAAGTCTCTTCAAGTGGTATCACTTGGGTGATGAGCAAAAAATTTATTTTGCAGAAGCCAAGTTGAAAAGGACAACTAGAGTTTGGTGGGAAAATTTTCTGAGAAGTCATTTTGCTATCCTTCGAACTTGGGAAAATATGAAGATTGCTATGACCCATTATTTTGTACCACCTAATTACAAGCAATGAGTTCGCATGCAATTTATACAATTGACACAAGGAAGTTTAAGCATCGATGATTACACTAACAAATTTTTCAGCTTAGAAACAAGGTCAGAATTTCCATGGAATGAAGATGTCATGATATCTATGTATCGGCAAGGGCTGAATTTACAAATTTCTTCTGGTTTAGCTACTTGTAGGCTTTATACAATGGCTGATGCGGTTCAAGTTGCTGCTCAAATTGAGGAGGAAGCTAAAACAAAGACTTCTATGAGATCTACAACCACTTCCAATGGTAAGAATGAAAGTCCAGCCATTGACTTAAGTAAAGAAGGAATGTCAGTCCATTCACAACCTGTCAACAATCCTCATGGTTCAATACCTTCTTCTAATATAGCCCCTACCAAAGGTAGAAACAACAAAGGACCTGTTTGTTTTAAGTGTGGAGAACAGGGACATCTGGGTTACTAATGTCCTACGAAGAAAAATTGGCATGCTGGGATTGCACAAGGAAAGGAAGTTGCAGAACAAGAATCTGATTTGGCAGGAAATTCTTTAGATTTTGGGGTTTATGAGGCTGATGACCTTGATGATGATGAGAATGCAGTCACATGATTTCAAAACTCATGGTCGAGTTTCTTCCAAGTTGGAGAGGATGATGCGAACAACAAAAGACTAAGATTCATGAGGTTTATTTAAATTTTAGAATACAAGGGTATTTTAGTATTTTTTAGGTTTGCTGAAAATCTATCTAGGTTTAGGCTTTATTTATGTTTAGTATCTTATTTTCTTAGTCCTGAAGTTATTAGGTTTTCTTATTCCTAAATAGGAATAGTCATGTTGGAGGTTTAGGAATCCTTGTCCTAGTTGGATTGAGACTCTAAAAATGCAGTATGTAGTCTTCCAATATTCAGAATGCAATAATATCAAATAATTTTCAGCACTTTACCTTTGATTGTGTGACTTAATCTCCCTTAGGCGTAACTCCTAAGAACCCTAGTTGTGAAGCTTAGGTTTTCTATCCTCTAAGTGTGATTCCTAGAAATCCTATTAGTGTAACTCTAATAGTTCTATAATTCTCAGTACAAATCCACAATAATATAGACCTATATCTCCTTCAAAAATCAAATCCAGAACAATCCCTAAGCTGTCTTGCATCACTTATCTATTATCTTGTCCCTTAAATATGTTCTCTATATACCTAAACTTATTTGTAATCTCCTATCTATTTGCAAATTGTTTGTTAGCAAATCGTCTAAAGATTCTAATAGTCGGGTTACTTTCTTTGACTCTCATTGTGTGTTTCAGGCCCAAAGTTTGAGGAGGATGATTGGCAATGCTAGGATGATAGATGGTCTCTATTACTTTGATGATGAAGATTCCAATGGTAAAAAATCTTAGGGCTTGAGTAGTATCAATTCTCTTTATATCACAGAACAAATTATGCTTTGGAACGAACGGTTAGGTCCTAGTTTTTTGTATTTGAAAAAACTTTTTCTTATGTCATTTTGAGGATTGGATTGTTCAACATTTCATTATGAAAGTTGTATTTTGTCAAAAAGCCATAAATCATTTTATCCCTCACAACTTTACAAACCTTCCAAACCATTTTATCTTATCTATAGTGATATTTGAGGTCCTTTGTGGATTAGCACGGATTTATGAAAAAATAATTTGTGACATTTATTGATGCTCATACTCATCTGTGTTGGGTTTATTTGATGAGTGAAAAATCAGAAGTTAAAACCTTAATTAAAAAATTTCATACAATGATTGAAAACCAATTTCAACAAAAAATTGGCATTCTCCACACTGACAATGGCATTGAATATTTTAATGAGATTCTTGGTAATTTCTTTAAACATAAGGGTATTCAACATCAATCTACTTGTATCGATACTCCTCAACAAAATGAGATTGCTGAAAGGAAAAACAAACATTTGCTCTAAGTGTCTCGTGCCATTATGTTTTCTGAAAATGTTCCCAAATTTCTCTGGGGGAAGCAGTTTTAACAACATCTTATTTGATAAATAGGATGCCTACTTGGGTTCTTAACTATAGTACACCCCTTTAGTGCCTTGAAAATTTTTTTCCTGAAGCGCAGATGTATTCAGATTTACCGCTAACAGTTTTTGAATGCACTTGTTATGTCCATTTACCTACTAGGAGGCAGTCCAAACTAGATCCCAAAGCAAAAAAAATCTTTACAGGCTATGCCCTAAACAAACAAGGGTACAAATGTTCTACTCTTAGCACTCGAAAAATTTGTCACTATGGATGTCTCATTCCTTGAATATTAGCAATTTTTTCAGGAAAATTTTCTTCAGGGGAGAAATAAAGTGAAAAAAATTTCTGGGAAGTTAATCCCACTCCTTTGTCTAAAACAGTAGATTCCCCTAAAAATCTCCAAAAGCTATTGTTCCTAATATTATAGAGCCAGAAAATGTTGAAAATTTCACAAGAGATACTACTAGATGATTATAAAAAACAAGAACCTGGGTTTAGAGTCTACACGGGGAGAAAGAATCATCAAAATGGTAGAGAGCGTACTGTTCCCACGGCAAGAAATCAATCAGACATACAAGGTACTCTAAACCCTTTACTATCCAATAATGTTCCTATTCTTGATATTTTCTATGATTGACATTCCCATAGCACTTAGAAAAGGCACCCGGTCTTACTAATCATCCTATTGCAAAATCTCTCTCATATGATAAACTATCTCAAAGTCATAGGGCATTTACATCAAAAATCTTTAATCTGTTTGTTCCGAGAAACATATAAGAAGCACTTGATGATCTAAAATGAAAATCGATAGTAATGGAGGAGATGTGTGCTCTAGTAAAAAATAGGACATGGGAAGTTGTAGCTACCCAAAGATCAAAGAACAATTGGTTATAAATAAGTATTTACAGTGAAGTGCAAGGCTAATGGAAATATAGAAAGATACAAAGCGAAACTTGTTGCTAAGGAATTTAGTCAAACCTATGATATTAATTACCAAGACACTTTTGACTCGGTAGCTAAAATTAACTCTATTTGAGTTTTACTCTCTCGCAGTTACTTTCAACTGGACCTTACATCAGCTAGATGTGAAGAATGCATTTCTAAATGGTGATTTGGAAGAAGTGTTTCTGTCCACCAGCAGGTTTTGAAAAACTTATTGGCCAAAATAGTATGTAGGCTCAAGAAGTCTTTATATGGCCTGAAACAATCTCCACGACATGGTTTGGAAGGTTTGGGAAGGCAGTAAAAAGCTATGGCTTTCACCAAAGTCAAGCAGATTACACTCTACTTTATAAGCATTTTGAGATAGAAAAAATTTGCAATGCTAATTGTCTATGTGGATGATATAATCTTAGCAAGTGATGACTATGAAGAACTTGCAAGATTGAAAAGGAAGCTAGCAGAGGAGTTTGAAATTAAAGACCTAGGAGCATTGAAATATTTTCTTGGAATGGAATTTGCAAGATCAAAAGATGAAATATTTGTGAATCAAAGAAAGTATATCCTTGATTTACTTGGAGAAATTGGGCTACTGGGATGCAAGGTAGCCGAAACTCCAATTGAGGCTAGCCTAAAACTCAGTCCCATTAAGGATGAAGATGTGATTGATAGGAAAAAAATTTAGCAACTGGTGGGAAGACTGATATATCTATCACACACTCATATTGACATAGCCTTTGCTATAAGCATGATAAGTCAATTTATGCACTCGCCAGGTCAAGAGCACTTCGAAGCTGCCTACAAAATACTAAAGTATTTGAAGGGGACACCTGGAAGAGGCTTGATTTTAAAAAACATGATAATGTACAAGTTGAAATCTATACAGATGCTGCTTGAGCAGGTAGCATTTCTGATAGAAGATCAACATCAGGATATTGTACTTTGTTGGGAGGGGGGGATCAAGTCACCTAGAAAAGTAAGAAACAAAATGTAGTAGCTCAAAGTAATGCTAAAGCTAAGTTTAGGTCTCTCGCACACGAGATGTGTGAAGTAATGTGGATCAAGAGGTAATTAGAAGATTTGAAGATTCCTGTGTCCCTAGCTATAAAAGTCTATTGTGACAACAAGGCTGCCATTTCGATTCCACACAACCCTGTTCATCACGGCAGAACCAAGCACATTGAAGTGGATAGACATTTTATCGAAGAGAAACTTAAAAGTGACCTAATCTGTGTTTCTTACATCTCAACCACTGAACAGATAGCTAATATACCCACTAAGGGACTACAGAAGAAACAGTTTGATTTTCTAGTAAGCAAGCTAGCTATGAAAGACATTTACAAGCCAGCTTGAGGGGAAGTGTTGAGAAAGAGAAATGCTACTAATTAGGAGGAAATCTGTTTCTAACAGATTGGGAGAGAAATTAGCAGAGATTTAGTCAAAGTAAATAAATTAGAAGACAAATTAGCAGATTTGATTTGTATAAAATTCTTTCCTACTATGGACACTTCTGTATTCCTATCTATGTAATCTAAATAGAAGAAATACACATGGCAAAATATTTTCCACATAAATGTTATCCAATTGTTTCATGAAGGTATGGTAAAACCAAAGTCTTTTAGCTAAACTGATCAGAACAAGCGAATCAAAGAAATTAAATGGCATTTATCTTTTCACTCTTTGCTCTTGTAGCTAACATATTCTCTTTGGACCAAATAGTATTCCAATTTGGACTTCAAATAATCAATTATTTTTTGTGCAAGTTGCTTTTGTTAAGTTCATTGTAATGATTATGAAAACTCGATAGATCTTGACATTCCAGATGATGTAGTATCTCTTGTGAGTTAATGAAAAAAGTATAGATACGTATTTTTTTTATTTTTGCTTCTTTGTTGGTTAAACTGTGAATTATATTTCAATTTAATCGTTATAATTATAAATTATGTCTTTGAAATTTGAAATGTAATTATGTCTTCAAACTTCATTCAATAACCTTTTGCTGTAGGACAATTTGAGGTTTCTGTCCTACAAAGGATTTGACGTTAGCTAGGGTTTATTGTTTGTGAGATTAGGGTAGAATAGAGCTTGTTTAGGAAGAAATAAGTAGAAATTAGGCTATGAACAATAATTTGTAGCACTGTAGCACCAGAATAGTAAAACAAGAAAGAAGAAAAAATAGAACCAGAGAACAAAGAAGAAACCTTTGGCACTACGTCTTGAAAATTACTCTAAAACTCAATACTAAACCCGAAACATATAAATCTACCAAGGACACTTATTTTTTGAGCAAAAAGACTTCTTGCTTCATGAAGAATCACTCAATGTAGCTTTAGGTTTCCAAAGTGGAGAGTGTTTCTCTAAGAATAATGTTGGGATTCTTTGCTATTAATCAGCTAAGAATTAGGCTGTAAATCAATGTAATTAACGGTATATTTGTTTCCTATTTAGAATAGATTAGGCAAGATTTCCTCCTTGAAGTAGGAAACAAATCCTAATATTTAGGACTCTTTGTGTATATATACGTGTTCTAGTATAATAAAAATTTAAGTCATTCAAACCTAATTATTCACATGGTATCAAAGCAACCCTAGACGCCTCCTGTTCTTCCCACAGCCGTCCTTAGCCAGTTCTTCACCAATTTTTTTTTTTTCCAGCAGTCTTCATCAATCTCTACACTGTTTATTCCAACTGTGTTCATCAACCAATCCATCCTTTATCTCATTCCTAATCCATCCTTTATCTTATTCCAGCAGCAACATCCAAGACCAAACATGCAATCACAACAGAATCCACCAATTATTGGATCGGGTTCTATAGCTCAAAAAGGTAATTTTCTTAAGGCTTTGACTGTCAAACAAGAGCTCTATAAGCCTTGGATTGTAGACTCTGGTGCTTCCGATCACATGACAGAAGATAGGAAAGTTTTTCACACATATTCTCCCTGTAATGATGCTCTCACAGTTAGAATTGCAGATGGTTTTTTGGCAAAAGTGGAAGGGACTAGCTCAGTTGTGGTATCCAAGGACATAACACTCAAATTTGTTCTATATGTTCCTAATCTAGACTGCAACCTACTCTCCATAAATAAAATTACCCAAGATCTTAATTGTGTGGCTAATTTTTCTCCTCATGTTTGTGAATTTCAGGATGTGACTTCGGGAAGGATGATTGGCAGTGCTAGAAGTCATGCTGGGCTCTATTATCTTGAGGTTCAACCGGATTCTGTGAGACAATCTCACCTAGGAATGAGTAACCCTATTTCTAGTAAAACTGATTCTTGCTTGTCTGTTAGTGAGTTGAAAACTGAGAGTGAGAGATCAATCATAGTGTGGCATTACAGGTTAGGACACCCAAACTTTATGTATTTGTCTAAGCTTTTTTCAAGTTTATTCAGAAATAAAAGCGCTAGTTCTTTTCAGTGTGAAATTTGTCAATTTGCAAAACATACTCGTAGTTCATACCCTATTCAGCCATACAAAGCATCAAAACCTTTTTCTATGATCCATAATGATGTTTGGGGCCCATCCCAAGTTCCAAATGTCACAGGAGCCTGGTGGTTCATCTCTTTCGTAGATGATCACACACAACTCACATGGATTTTTCTCATGAAAAATAAATCAGATGTCCCTCAAATATTTAAGAATTTCAACACAATGATTAAAAATCAATTTCAAACTGTCATTCAAATACTTAGAACTGATAATGGAAGGGAGTTTTTTAATTCTAATCTTAGCTCATATCTATCAACTGAGGGAATCATACACCAAAGGTCATTTGTAGATACCCCTCAGCAAAATGGGATTGCCGGGCGAAAGAATACACTTTTTGAATATTGCCAAGTCTTTGTTGTTTTCATCCAATGTTCCAAAACATTTTTGTGGTGAGGCTGTACTTACAGCAGCATACCTAATCAATCGACTTTCATCAAAAGTACTAGATTTTTCCACTCCACAAAGTATTTTTACAAAACTTTCCTCAAAGTCGTCTAATTTCCACTCTTCATCTAAAAATATTTGGGTGTATTGTGTTTGTTCATATCCATCAATAACATCGAACCAAACTTGACTCTTGATCCACTAAATGTATCTTTGTAGGGAACTCTCCTAACCAAAAGGGTTACAAATGCTTCTGTCATGACAACCAAAAGTTCTATCACACCATGGATGCCACATTTTTTGAATCAAAACCCTATTACATCAAAACTGATATTCAGGGGGAGAGCTCTAGTCAAAGTCAACCAAAAGAATATCAGTTTTTCTTAGAGAGCATAGATTGCACCCCAGAAACATCCAAAACTACAAATACACCTTATCCACCTGAAAGTGCTTCTACCCCATCTCCAAGTGTCCAACCTGAACCTGAACCGCAACCAATTGATTCTACATCTCCCAATATAATTGTCTACCACAGAAAAAGAGGAAAGCAGAAGGAATCAAAGACTTCAACAGATTTACAGCTACTGCCAGCATCTGAAATTGAGGTAAATATCCCTACATCTGATTTGCAAATTGTGGAGAAAAATTTTGCAGGTTCTAGTTCAAGTAATCTTGGGAATTCCGATGAGAATCTACCCATTGCACTCAGGAAAGGGGTGAGATAATGCAGAAGTAAGCCATTGTACCCTATTGGGAATTATATGAACTATGATAGGCTATCTTCATCTTACCAAGCATTCACTAGGAAAATCAATTCTATATCCATTCCGAACTCAATCCATGAAGCCATGGCTATCCCGGAATGGAAGAAGGCAATCAATGAAGAAGTTAATGCTTTGGTGAAGAATGGTACTTGGGAGATTACTGATTTGCCTCATGGAAAGAATGTGATCGGGTGCAAGTAGATTTTCAATGTAAAAACAAAAGCAGATGATAGTATTGAAAGATAAAAAGCTCGGTTAGTAGCTAAAGGATTTACTCAATCCTATGGCATAGATTATGAGAAGACCTTTGCTCTGATAGCAAAACTCAACACTATTCGAATACTCCTCTCTCTTGCAGCTAATTTGGATTGGCCCTTGCATCATCTAGATGTCAAGAATGCATTCTTGAATGAGAATCTAGAAGAAGAGGTCTATATGGACATTCTAAAAGGACTACAGAACTCATCAAACATCAATAAAGTGTGTTGACTAAAGAAGTCCCTTTATGGTCTTAAACAATCACCCAGAGCTTGGTTTGAGAGATTTACCAGAGTAGTGAAGAGTAATGGGTATATACAGGGACAATATGATCATACAATGTTTGTAAAACATTCTTTGGAAGGACTGATTTCTGTGTTGATTGTCTATGTTGATGATATTGTTCTAACAGGAGATTATGCTGAGGAGATTTCAAGAGTCAAAGAATTTCTGAATAGAGAATTTGAGATCAAGGACCTAGGTAACTCACATACTTCTTGGGAATGGAAGTGGCTAGGTCTAAGCAAGGCATTGCAATCTCTCAAAGGAAGTATGTACTAGATTTTCTAAAAGAAACAGGTATGCTTGGGTGTAAACTTGCAGAGACACCTATGGACTACACCGCCAAACTTGGGTCTGATAAGGATAGTGCTCCGATAGATAAAAGAAGATATCAAAGACTCATAAGGAAGTTGATCTATCTGTCACATACTAGGCCAGACATAGCATTCTCAGTAAGTGTTGTTAGCCAGTTCATGAACAACCCTACTGAAGAACACATGATAGCGGTGTACAGAGTCTTAAGATACTTGAAAATGACTACAGGTAAGGGACTATTATTCAAAAAGAACTCAAGTAGGGAAGTGGAATTGTATTCTGATGCAAACTGGGCAGGCTCAATCACAGATAGACGATCCACTTCTGGATATTGTACCTATGTTTGGGGAAATTTGACAACATGGAGGAGTAAAAAGCAAGCTGTGGTAGCTAGGAGTAGTTCTGAAGTAGAATTTCAAGCAATGGCTCATGGTATTTGTGAAGGAATCTGGGTGAAAAGAGTATTAGCTGAATTGAAGATACCTTTTAAGGGATCACTATAGCTATTTTGTGATAGTCAATCTGCCATCAGCATTGCCAAAATCCAGTTCATCATGACCGAACCAAACATGTGGAAATAGATCGGCATTTTATCAGAGAAAAAATAGGAGAAATCAAGCCTACTTACATTCCTTCTAATCTACAAACAGCCGATATCCTAACCAAAGCACTTCCAAGGATGCATTTTGAAGATCTTAGCTGCAAATTGGGTATGATAAATATTTACAACCCAGCTTGAGGGGGAGTGTTGGGATTCTTTGCTATTAATCAGCTAGGAATTAGGCTGTAAATCAATGTAATTAGCTGTATATTTGTTTCCTATTTAGAATAGGTTAGGCAAGATTTCCTCCTTGAAGTAAGAAACAAGTCCTAATATTTAGGACTCTTTGTGTATATATACGTGTTCTAGTATAATAAAAATTTAAGTCATTCAAACCTAATTATTCACAAATAACATAGCTACTCCATCACATTTAGTTTACCTATTGGATACCGCTTCCTTTATACAGTTTATAAAAATCTTATTCAATCTTATCATCAGAGTTTGTGGACACTCCATGCATCACACATCGAATGAGTGTTTTTAACCACCTCTATTGATGTTGTTTGTGATTGAGAGAACGATTTTTGGATTAGCATATCTTGACAGTAATAGTGTGCACTAGAATCTAAGGATTGAGAAGAATTAGTGTTTTAGCCACCTCTACTGATGCTGTAAGTGATTGAAAGAATGAATTTGGGATTAGCATATCTTGATAGTAATAATGTGCACTATAATATGTGGATCAAGAAGAACAGATAAAGAGCAATAGGGATTCAATCCGAAATGCTAGGTTGAGGAGTTATGCATTATAGAGATATGACATTATGAATTGTACTTCATATAGAATGGTATTGCATGCTACCTGCAAGATTTGACAAAACCACTTTCAAAATGCAAAAATTTGAAAAAGAAGCAGTCTTGATTTCACAATCTTTCAGATGAGTTTCATGGTGTTCTCAGCTTTTATGTGCATGCAACACACACTGCAGTAATCATAGTTCTATTGCAGCTTTTAGCTAATCAGGAAGCCATCAATGCAAGTTATACAAGTTTGAGAGAATATGATGAATAAGAATCTGAAAAGGTATAGAAGACCACAGAAAAATTTGATTAGGCATTAAGCAACAAAAGATAACAAATAAAGCAAGCAACAAGAGTTTCCAATTCAATACAATTGCATCTACCAAAATATTGGACTCATTGTCAGCACATACCAATACAGCCCTGGTGATTTTCGCAGCTATTAATTATAGACAACATTCTCCAACAATTTCCGAAAGAAATATTTTATAACCACCAATTTCAGCAAGTCCACAGGTAAAATCATACTAAATCAACAAAAGATGAGAAAAGAAAGCAAATAAAGCTGAATATCAGAGAAGGATTAAAAAACGGGAAAACCTATCAATCTACTCTTATATATTGCACCATTTATCAATCATACTTTTGTAAAAATTAAGAAAAAAATAAAAAATAAAAAAAATTTATAACCTTTAATTTGTTCCTATTCTCTTATTTCTGTTAAAATTAACGGCTATATGTATAACACATGATAGTTTCAACAAGAATTGATGAAAATACCCTTCAAGTTCATATATATACCCTTTTAAGTAAAAAATAAAAAGGAAAATTAACATCAATTGAACTCAAGGAATCAGGGAAGATGCATACCTGAACTATTTCCACTCCAAAACTCGATCTTGTTTCATACAGATCATCATTACCAGCTCCATTCACATTCGGTCCAGAAATACAATAGCTTCGGTCAGGGCTACAACAATGAAGAATTGGTCAGTTAAATCCATAGTTGCCATGAGATGTAGAGTGATTTTAAAAGGAGCATACAGACTACAACCTGCAATGGTCCCATCTACGTATCCTCAAATCAGTTCCCCCAGTCAATAAATCACCACCTGGTAAAGGAAGCATCGCACGAATACCAGGAAAACGAGGAGGCGGCTCATTAAGTTCCTCAACTCTATACTTTAGATTGGCATTCCGCCTCATATCTGGTTTGAAATTTGCCTTAGTAGATGGCCTGGCCAAGGCCCATGGTGTATCAGACATTTCAGCATCATTGTCATAATTTGCAACCCTCAAGATCTGGAAGAAAAGTTCAACAATGCCATGTAAAATTAACAATGTAGAGAAGGATAGACTATCTGTATAAACTAAGAGACAGTAGATAGACCAAAGTACTTTTATGTAGCTCTAAGCAGTGCAGGACATTCTTATATCATCAAACACTTCGAGAATATCATTTCAAGAAATATGTAGCACATAGCATTAGGAGATATAGTACAATATCCATCCTCAACACTCATAATCAATGGCATCTATTCCGTAATGCAACACTTTAAATACAATCTTCAGGTGGTTATTACCAAAAAGAATATTTAATGCAGCTTTATATCTGCAAGAGGCCATAACCCCATTAATTTGAAGAAGTTCTTACCATAATTACTAATATAAAACAAATAAAAGGCCAAACATATGTGTGTGTGAGAGAGAATGAGTGAGTGAGTGAGAATGTAATAGTATTAGATAGCCTTTTCAATTATCCACAAGTCGCCCACAGCACAAAAACTTAAATGTGTAGCAAATGTCATGGCAAGGTAGTTAATATGTTGTCGAAGTTTAGATTACACAGCAACAATTCAAACTAGAGCAGCAATAACAGAGATTTAAGTATTGAAGTGTGAGACCGAAGCAAATACTTAACCAATTAGAGCATATACACGATATGCAGCCCCTTCAAAATTCAATTTTCTACTAACATACAGTCCTTCATACCAAGTTTTTAATCTATCAAAACACAAGATGTATATACAAAATGTTGATTTTCGTATGGCTTGCCTTATTTACACATGCTATCTGCATAACTAAAGCTCGTAATGTAACGACCTACGCATGGCTATTGCGATTTACCCTATTCTATGCCACCCAATCTGATTATCAAAAGCAACAAATAAGACAATTGGCATGTACCTGGTGGCAGCTCCCAGTCTCAGCATTCCAAAGAGACACTTCATTACACCCTGCAGCAACATATAGCAGTGGTCTTGCAGTGCTGGTTACAGTAACATTTGGAGGAGGAACAAAAAGGCACATTTTCTCTACAGGGCATACATGGGAATACTTCCATGAGTTTACAGGTATAAGGAACCTCAGATCCCAAAGTGTAAGCACACCCCTGGAAGAGCCTGATACCAACCAGTTTCCACAAGGACCTGTTACCAGAGAGGATACGTAACCTTCCTCAGGAACTGCTTTTAAAGTCCAGGCAGTAGAATTGGCCCTGATATCCCAGAGATGGATCCCGCAATTTTGGGTGCTGTAAATAACACTCTGGCCATCACTGTTATCAGTGGTGTAGTTCAAAAGACTAAGAATGGCACCTTCCTTGATATCCTTCTTTTTTATATCAGCAATCCCTGAATACTTCTCAACAACATTGCCAAGGCCTCTGGACATGTGTTCAACAGAAAACATATGAATCACGCCATCACATGCTCCAACGACAACTTGAGCTGTGTTGTGGAGCATAACAGTGCATAGTGCTCGACTCCCCTCCAGATGATAAGTTAGCCTTGATCTAAATGAGATGTCCTTCTCCAATTTTCTTGAATCCCACACCTTGATAGTTGAATCATCAGATGCACTCACAAAAACACTATTATCACTTGAAACTGCAACGTCATTAATGGCAGACCGGTGCTCCTGCAGGTGAGCAACCAACACCCCACGAGGTTTCCAGCCTGAATCAGGAATTGAAGCCGTCCGCACAAATAGCGGCAATCCAGTTAGATCTGTTGGAGGGGCATCTTCCACGGCAAAAGAACTTCCTTTTGAAGTGCCATATAATCCCATATCTTGATATTTACCATTAATGAATGATGTTTGATCATTTTCTCGGCTTTCTGGTTCATGTACCACTCTATAAAACGGTTTAGAACCATTAGTAATGCTGAATGAACCTGAAACCAGCTTAGGTGCAGGAGCAGAACTAGCCAGGCTAAATGATTTAATTCCTGGATCCACCCAGGGCATGTATGATGAACTGATTGCAAGGGAGTTCATCTGCAAAGAAGAATCAGATGTTGCAGGAGGAAATTTTACTGCTCGTCTATCCATGCTAAAGGAGTATAAAGGTATGCCTTCTGAGGATTTATCATGTAAAAAGCTATTCACACCACTAAACCGAGGGGACATATAACCTGAGAATTGCAACTTCTCTGAGCATAGGACATCGTGAATGTCAACTTTGCTGGATGCATTGGCTATAAAGCCCATAGCTGTCAACTTTGCATCACCATCCTCTGGCTGTTCCAATTTATCAGCATCATGATTTTGATCCTCAAGACTTGGTTCCTTGTCAGGCCAACTCTTCATTGAATTCAGTTCCTTATCCTCTCTCTTGAGCAAATCCTCAGGTTCCCATTGTTTGGACTGGGCTGATGAATTGTACCATATTTTTCTCTGTCTCTCTAACATGTCTGAACTCCGGGCATTTTCTAGGACTTGGCAAAACACCTGTCTTGAAACCGGAGGAACCAAACATAAGAGTAGGGACTTCTCTGAAGCTAGAGAAGCTGGATTTCTGCGGAGAAATGGGCGTATAACTGGTGCTAGGAAAACATATGAATCTACTGCACCTAAACTCTGACTACTGGCAGCAATGAAAGAGACAGCTGACCTTCTAACCCATTGACTAGGATAGCATAACAATGGAAAGGCGTGTTCTATCATTTCAAGCAGTACCCGTTTCCGTAAGAAGCCGCGTTTACACAACGTTGCTAAGCAGTCTAATGCATTTACAATGACAAACTCGGTTTGATCACTTAAAGCCTGATCGATGTAAGGTAAAAGATATTCTTCCACACTTCGTTGGCCGACAAAGAAGCAGACGTATACGATCTTGCTATAGAATAATGCCCTTAGTTGCTCATCTCGATCATTGAGAAATGCAGGAAGGATCGGTAACAGAAAGTCATTGCTCTGTCTGTGGCCAAAGAAGCAGCATAGATTGCCAATGTCCTGAAGCAGTGCTCTCCTGATATTTGGAGTTTGTTTTGGACCCATGACAAGTTCCTGAACAACCTCAGCGATTGATTTCCTCAGCTGTGCCAACTGTGCATCGTTATTTACTCTCTGCAGCTGTACAGGTCTTTCAATAAATGATGCCTGCGAATTCTGTGGTGAACTCATTTCATCAAGAACACCTGCCTTGCTCAAGCTTATTGAATGAATCAAGAACCCATAAGCAGTTAAAGCCAGCTTCGCTATATTGCTGGCATAACATATTCTCACACTTTCCTCTGGATCATCAGGAAGCATGGAAAGCATTGGAAGAATATACTCAGGGAAAATTTTTGCATCACTAGGAGGAAAATCACGAACTAAAGGCAGAATGTCGCACAAAGTCTCCAAGGCAGCAGAACGCACTATTGCTGCTGGATCTGAAAGCATTGCAATAACATATGGCAGCACACGCTGTAAGCGATCTTCATCATCAATATATAACGAACAAGACTTCAATAAGAGTATGGCTCCTCTCCTCAAATGTGGCAACTTGACATTACGTATGCAAGAGCATAGCAGAGAGGCAATCAGAACCATACCTTCACATCTCATGCTATCTTCAGGTAATGGTAAAAAAGGCATACCAAATGTATCTGATTGACTGTCATACTCAGACATCAATGAACTCAAATCGTCCATGGTAATCTTTTTCAGAAATGGATGATCATTTCTCTTAAATGCATTTGAGATAGTTTGAAGAAGTTCATCAGAAGATTGTGTGCAGTGTTGCTTGAGATCCTGGCAAAATTCAGAACTAGGTGCACTCTCAGGCATCAATTTTGCACTGTAATAATCACTGCTTGGTTTTACATCCCCAAGCAGACTATTGATATCTCCAAGAAGATTGTACTGTTGAGAAGCTAAACCCTTCTCTATTCTCTCTCTGTTTCTCCAATGACTTGTTGAGTCCAAGTTTTGTTTTTCAACCATCCCTTCTGATAGTTTGCCATTCAAACCATTTGCAGACATGTCCAGTCTGGTGCCAGCCACCTCACTTGTCCTGTTTCCCATCATTTGCTTAAGTATCTCGTGGAAAACACTCTGGCATATTGCGACCTACAGTACAAATAAAAGAGCAGCAAAGTTATATGAGTTACGACAAGAACAAGTTTTAAGTGGTATATTCAAACATCCTACCCTCATATCAGAATGAAGTGGATTCCAGCAATAGTAGAAATTATGCAGAAAGGGTGAAAAGTAGCTTGGAAACACAACAGCTGCATAATCTTGTAGGTAGCTTTCAGCAGAAAGACGTGCCTCAGGCTCCAACTGGATCATATGAAGTATCATCTTGCGGATTCCAGAATCTGGGATCTGTGCACATGGAGCATAACAATTTGGCAAAAGATAGTTAAGGATGAACAAGATTCATCCTATATATATATATATAGAGAGAGAGAGAGAGAGCGAGAGAGAGAGGAGAAAAATAAAGTTGGGAAAGTTTCACGATAACCATTTAACAAAGTTCTAAAACACTGTAGGCAGTAAGTTCAAGGAAGCAGAATGAAACAGGAGGTGAAAATTGAAGTTTTAAGGATAAGAGACAAACAAAGACATATCATGGGAAGAAGACTATAATTATTCACAATAGCATAAAAAATCCAAATGGAATTGAATGCTTCACAAATGATAAACCCACCTCTCCTATTCTCCTCTTGGTTGGTCAAAAAAATGATTTACCCGCAAATATATAGAGACTACTGTTATGAAGTGTGTGTGTGTGTGTGTGTGTGTGTGTGTGAGAGAGAGAGAGAGAGAGCAGGACCTTTTCAAGATATTGGCTAGGATCATATTGTCCTCTACGATAAGCAAGAAGCTGGGAGAGTTCAAACAGTTGCTGACCCTCAAGGAAAAGTTCCGCAATTACACACCTAAACAAAAACATGATGAATCAAATAATTGTTGCAACACAAAATAAAACATACAAAACAAATACTTCAACAACAAAATTTGATCAATTATATATTAGATCCATGCAACCCAAAAACAATATCCCTATTAGAAGTGACTTTACTTGATTCTGCAATGTTAAAAATATCAGGTTACAAGAAATTTGACCAGGAAACCAATCCCAAAAACAAAACAAAACAGAAAAGAAACCTTTCTTTTCTCTTTTGTCTAGAGGCTGTTAGCAAAAGGGCAGTCACAACCCTTATCACCCAACCTCAAAACCTCCAACATTCTAGTGAAGGGAGGATTACCAGCTTGACAACTGCTACTGTCTAAAAAAAGGGGGAAATAATGTAATTGGATTCTGCTAAACAATGAAAAGAAACTGCAGCACAAAATCAACCTGGATCTATTTTTATTTTTCATGTAGATTATCCCACTACCTAAAAATTTCATTGTGCATTAACAATTACAGAGTAGTCATTTACAGAAAAAAGTTTGCACACGGTAGGGATATCAAAATGAACTGTGGCAAGAATTGTAAAGTGAAAACATCAAATGGAAGATCTAAATACTAATACACTCAGCAAGCTCACCCTACAGCAAAGATGTCCATGGATGGCATCAACGGTGCATCTTGAGCAACTTGCATCTCGCCTCCATGCTCATAAAATCTCTGAAATTTGAGGATGAGTAAGTATAATATATTGCACTGAACAAAGAGGAAGACTTGGAAACAGTTTAAAACCATATGATTCTTGAATGCCTAATTGATTCTATGCAATGAATAAGCAGTTAGTATATAGAATAGATGGAAGACAAAGGTGAGACCAAAGTGGATGGTGGTTCGTTTGGAGCATGAGGACAACGAGTTGTAATAAGATCTATTAGGAGTAAATAAACAAACCTCAGGTGCAAGATAACAGAGCCTTCTTCCTCCTGTGTCAAAGAAGAAAGAGAAATCCGAAGGATCATCATAAGGAATGTAAGTTGGTTTAAACGAAGCGAAGTCAGCAAGATAAAGCCAATTCCAGGAAGTAACCAACACATTCTCGCATTTGATATCACCTACAAAAATGTAAATGGACATTATTAGACTATCAGAAGATGCAAACCCCATTAGAAACTAATAACTAACTGCACTAACCATGACAAATCCCCTTGTCATGACACTGTTTCACAGCAAGAAGTAACTGCAACACAACAAAAATTAAAAAATAAATAAAAAGAAGAACAATTAGAGCCAGCAGTTGTGCAGTATTTAATTTAACTAATTAATTTAGAGGAAAATGAAGGAAAGACCTGAAATGCCAACCACTTTTTTCAACGAGACTGAGAAAAGGACGAGTACTCAATCGATCATGAAGATTATTAAAGAAGTATTGCCTCAAAAGATACGCAGCTTTATCTGTTTCTTGAAAAAACTGCAACACCAACATCAAATCAAATCACTAAGTATAATCATCATATTATTCTGAAATAAGTAAAAACTAAATTTTCTGCAGACCTGGAAGGGCCAGACGTGGGGATGGTCAAGAGCACGGAAGGTATCCTTGATAAGGATGAGACGGCGGTTGTATTCAGTGAGATCAATGTAATCACCACGCTTGAAATAGACCTTCACCAGAACTAAACCCTCATCGTGCTTGCACAGTATCGACTTGAAGAACCTGCCTCGACCTAGCACCTCCTTCAGTACCAAATTATACGATGATGACGGCAAGTCGTGCAGGTAGTACTCTGATGCCGATACCTGCGTCGTCCGAGCGATTTTGTTACCCATCGACTACTTCTTTTTACTAATTTTGAATCTAATCTAATTCATTTCTTTTTTACTAAATTTAAATCTGATCTAATTCAATTTCAACATTACGAATACGGAGTAGTCCGTAAGTTAGGCTTCCTTCCGAGGTTGTTTTGCGTTTTCTTATATAATTATCCCAAATTCCCAAACCCAAGAGAGATTCTACAGGAGAAAACCAGGTTAGACAGAAAGGTCGTGCCGGTGCTAGAGGTATAAAATTTTCATGTGTAGATTATAAATTAGTCCCTTCTGTTTCGAGAAACGAATTAATTCATTCCTTTTTTTTTTTTCAAAAACTAATTATTCAATTCTTATATTTTTAAATTTATTTATAACTTAATTTTTTTTTAATTTATTTTGATTTTTTACTTGAAAAGAAAAGAAAAAAAATAATAAAAAAATATGAAAAATTTATTGAGAAAAGAATACATTTTTTAAAATAAAATAATATTAAATTAAACATAATTAATATTAATCATAAGAATAAATAATAATTTTTTAAATGAACTGACAAATTAATTCATTTCTTGAAACTAAATAAACTAATTTATAATTTACTCAATTTTGATTTAAATCACAACTCCAACCAAAGTTCAACGTTCCATTTTCAATTGGTTTTTGGGTCAATTATAATTTAGGTAATATTCTTTTCCATAGTTTTGTCATTTAGTCCTTCTAGTTTTGCAAATATATATACCATTACTTTTTTTTTCTAATATTTAACTAAAATTGAAGGACATTTAAAAAAGTATAATTTAATTTTCATGAAAAAGTGAAAATTAAAATAAAAGAATTAAATATTAGGCCATAAAACTAAATGAATTCGATAATTATTTTGTAAACACATAAAAGGATTATATATATATATATATATATATATATATATATATATATATATATATATATATATATATATATATAATTCGTGTCATGGGTTTTTTGTGTAAATCTCAATTAAGAGGATTTTGTAACGAAAGAAGTAAAAAAAAAATGACTGGAAAGCACTCTATAGGATAGTCAATCTCTTAATCTTATAGGTAAATGAACAAAATTAACTTGTAAATATAAACTATAATTACTTTTTATAATGTTTTTGGGGCTTAACATTGAAAGAAATTGAATTAAAATAAATTAAACAAGCTATAATAGGCTTGGAAACCTCTTGTAAGGAGACGACAATCTCCCAAGCTAATTGGATTACAAGATTTAAGGGAGAATCATTTAAAATAAAAGATGAATTAAAATAAAAATTAAACTCGTCTAATCCAATATACAATCAAAATAATAGGTTTAAACCACAAAACTAAGAATTTAAATAGTTAAACAATAAGAACAACGGACTACAATATGAATGAAAACTTGACAATTATGAACTAGAAATGTTTACAAAACAATAATGGAGTTTTTATAATTTTGAATTGAATGAACTTACAATAAAAAAAAAAATGAATATTCACAAATGGACACTCCAAACATAACAAATGTTAAAGGACCTAGGAATTATGATGATTGTGAGTACAAATAGAGGATCAAAAACTAACTTTCAGCTTACAAATTATCGCATACTACCTACAAGCTATCACCTATAAATTATCGTTTATTATCTACTAGTTAGCAAGTTTCAAGTGTGAAACTTGTGAAAGTTCTCATTGAGTTATTTGTAATTTACAAGAGTTTGCTTGTATTTGATTCTTTTGTATCCTTCTCTCTAGTTGCAGTCGGTAATTATAGGTTTTTTGATCATCCATAACTTCTAGTAATGAGTCATTCTCTTTTATGCATACTTGTAGTGCTTTATGTTCTTTTCTTTTTCTTGAGCTACAATGCATTCATGCTTCTTTTTTTCCTTACGTTGCAAAGTCTTATTCTATTATCCTTGTACTGCAATTTTTTACATTTTTCCTAACTCGTCTAGATTGTACTTTTATTGCTTTTAGAAGTTTGTAATTCTTTTAATTATCTATAGGTTAATTGGTACTAATCATATGTCCTTTTTCAAAAAAGACTTTCCCATATTATATCCAATTTACTTGTTAAAGTCCATCTTTTGCCAATTTTAAAGAGAGCTCTAGCGAGTCTTAATTGATTGGGCTTTAGTAGACACGTTGAGTTTAATAAGTTGATAGATTGTTTCTATGAATGTAGATGCCAATATCTAACCTAGTTTGGTTGATTTGATTTATTGTAGTGTTATATTTTTAAATATCAATACAAAAAGTCTTTTTATTAATTCTTATTATATATAATTTGATAGAATTACATAGAAATCCATATGATATGCGTTGCATTATGATTAATCAATTGATGTGAGATGAACATTGATGCATTTAAATAATATCACTAGATGTCCCAAGTTGAAACATCGTCAAGAATGGACATTGACTATATGTGGTAAGACTTGTGAGTGTTATGCTCATGCTATAGGGTAGTGGTAGGATATCTCACACCTATTGGCATGGTGATACCAAAGCAAACATTTAAGTGATTAATATTAGAGAACATATCACTTGGATGTGACATGGCATGAGAACTCATTTGGTTTAGTATATGAAAATCTCATACCATATGGGTATAACTGGTCTTTTGACTTGAAATTATCATGGTTATCTCATTAGAAGATTTATATATTTTAACACTCGTTTTGATGAGTTCGATCAAGAGCTACATGTGGACAATTTATTATTTACACTTGGAATCAAATGGAGATAGGTGGATGACTAAGATAGGACATGTTATTTCTTATATACTTGAAAGAGTTATCACATTGTACTTTGTTGAATGTCCGCTCAAAAAAAAAATTTGGCCATAGTAGGACTATACTAATAGAGCATGGTTGGTTTATTTTAGAGTTAAGACATTTAAGAATTGAAAAAAACTTATGTAATCATAATCGAATGGACTTTAAATCAAGTTCAAGATCATACTCGTGATAAATTGACATAACGACTAAATTGTATGGTAACCATGCTCGTAAAAAGTAATTGTGGATTAATTAATCCTCCTAGAGAAATGAGTAGTCATGATACCTTGTTAGAGGTTAATGTTGATTTATGTATCAAGAGATAAAAGGAGTCGTCTTTTATTCTTGATACATTACAAACATATCTAGGAGCCTATTGAGTCACATAAATAAGTTTAAGGATTTACATAATGAAATAGAAACAAAGATTTTGAAAAAGATTTCCAATTTTGAAAGTTTTCTATTTTAGAAAAAATTTCCTAAAATGAAAGTTTTCTTATTTTAGAAATCAGTTTCCTAATTTGAAAGTTAGTTCCAAATTTGAAAGTTACTTATCGAAAAAAGAAATTTGTTTCCTAATTGAGGTTTAAGTGTTGTTATGTCTATTATTTATATATTATTTTGGGAGTTTTTATGTTAATTTCTATAGAATAATTCTAGGTTTGTAATAAGTTTTTATTTTATTTGCTTATTATTTTCATATTATCTTAATAGTATTTTATGTCGTTATTTTTAGTATATTTTTAAGGTTATAAATATGTTTTGATCCCGACTTAAATTATGTTTTATTTAGGTATAGGACCAAATTCGAAACAAATAAGGGCAACTAAAAATTAAAGAAAGTGACTCGAGAGTCACGACCATGGCTTTAAAAAGGAAAAAAAAGCTCATGGTCAAAGCCACGGTCAACTTTAAAAAGGATCCATAATTCACGCCCATGACCAACTTAGTCATAGGTGTGACCTTCATCAAGTCATGGCAGCGGCTTGATTCACACAATCATGACTCTTTAAAGGGTCACGCCCATGACCAACTTAGTCGTGGGCGTGACCTTCATCAAGTCACGGCGGTGGCTTAAGTCACATGGGCATGACAAGCGATTTTCTATTCTTCGAGATTACGGAGTGAATTATACAAATTTTCAACAAACGAAAAACGAAGATTATGGAGATTTTTAGGGAATATAATTTTGGAACTAAGACTTATATATAGAAAACGATGCGACCAAATACCCCATTCAATGATAGAGAATTCGATCGCCATTAAAAATTCTCTCGAAGCCTTAAACTTTCCAACAACCACCTATTCTCTTGATAGCCATTGAAGACAGACAAAAGAGGCTTAGCAAGGACTCGTGCTTAAGCTAAAACGGAAACCAACCTCACTTGAAGTAGAGCCAAATCAGATTTCTTCTAAATCTTTGATTTTATTACTTTCAATTCTTGATTGTGAAAACATGGAATTTATTTTGATTAAATCGAGTGGATGTTTGTCTTTCAATTATGAGTTAAATTATGTCTTAAGAATTAACGAATCTTTTTATTGAATATGTTTAATTAAATTAGTTATTTAGTTGTTCTTGTCATTCGTCCTGTGATTTTGGAATTATTTATATGTGAGTGTTTGGCCAACGGTTATATATATGTAGTATTGAGTTGAGGTGAATCGATAAAATTTAATACTTGGACTAAAGGATTAAAGACATTAGGTTATTAATGAGAAATCCGGTAACCTGGTGAAGAAAGATTAATAAAAAGATTAATTAATTTAATCGAGCTTTAGACTTTCTAAATACAAAAGTTATGAAGGTATTCAACTAATTAAATTAATATCCAGGTTACTAATTTCTACAAGAATAATTATTTAAGGAATTTTAATTAAACATAGGATTTAATTGGTGAAGTTAATTTCTCGAGAATTTTCTCATCTTGATTTATGTTCCCAATTTTGTTACGATTATACTAATTGCTTGCATTTTTTTTTAATTTATAATTTTCAAATCACAATCTGGTTAGAGTGTTTAGGGTTTTACTTTATTGTTCTTGTTTATACTTAGGATTAAATTATTTTATGCCAATAACATCTCCTTGAGAATATGACTTTGGGGTGACTCACTAGTACTATAATTACCTCATACACTTGTGAGTATTTTCCGTTAATTTTTAGTACACTTTTGGCCGTAACAAGTTTTTGGCGCCATTGTCGGAGAGTCTGTAATGAGCTATCGTTTAGTTTAATT